CACCCAGTCAGCAGCTTCTAATGTATAAATGGTTAATACTGCTGGAATAGTCGGGGTGATGCACAAGTCAGAAGCGTGGGGATGCCTTGCTGTAGGCAGCAGCTTTAATCATGAACTCCTCGTCCTGCTGGTCACCAGCTTCTTTTGAATAATTGATGCCGAGTTGTGCTGTAGGTTGCTCCCTGTAGGAGAGGTCTCCGCCGGGCTGCTCTAGCTCACAGCTGCTCAGTGAATCAAGAGAGAGCTGCACAACGTACATGAAGTGTAGCACGCAGGCCTGTTGCAACAACGGCAAAATTTCCTTCCTGCAGATGAATACTTGTCACATTGTTAGCATTAGGCTGTTCTGTGTTGCTGTCATGATTGTTTGCATTTCCCTTAAATCATGCCGTGGCCTGCCTCTGAACATACTTGCAGCCCAAGAGAACATAAAATCACTGCTCCTCGATTGTGCTGATGTTTTGCTGCTGAGCAAAGAAACTAATGTACAGCTGAAGCAGTTGAGAACGTTTTATGTGTCAGTGCTGTGAATACATTCTCTCCATTTAAGGTAAAGAAACCAAGACCAGCTTCTAAAATATCAGCAATGGACTGTTTTGGTAATTAAGTAATCAGTTTGAGTAATTTTGTTAGATAAAAAGTCTAAATTCTAAAATTCCAGCTTGTTAAATTTTTATATTTTCTTGTCATTTTACTCCTCTATGACGGTGAACTGAATGTCTTTGGGTTGTGGACAAAACAAGAAATTGATGTTTCATCATCTTGGGCTTTGAGAAATTCTAATTGAGACTTGTCACCATTCTTTTGACGCATTACAGAACAAACAACTAAACGTTCTTTGACATATTCGTTGACAATGGAAATAATTACACCTCTTTGCTCAATCTGACCACAGGCAGCATTCTCTTTATGTTTGCTTGTATTTTTCATGATTTATCTGTTTTTTTTTTCTCTTCCCAAGGCGTCCCCTTTAAGCGTAACTTTATGTCTGTGGCGAAGACCATTCTGAAGCGCCTGTTCAGAGTCTATGCTCACATCTACCACCAGCACTTTGACTCTGTCATGCAGCTGCAGGAGGAGGCCCACCTCAACACATCGTTCAAACACTTCATCTTTTTTGTTCAGGTAAGGAATCTCTGACATTTGAATGCTGTGTTTGTGTGTATATTTGAGTTCAAAGAAAAGACGTGGTGGACAATCTGATCATGTCTTTCTCGTGTCTTTTTCAGGAGTTCAACCTCATTGACAGGAAAGAGTTGGTCCCACTACAGGAGCTGATTGAAAAACTGACAACCAAGGATAGATAAACAGCAATGTAATTCTTATTTTATTGTTGTTCTAGTTTTTGCACAGATACCCACCCCACCCTGGCTGTATGTATGCAGTATATACTATATTTCCATTTGGGGAAATGTTTTTAATAAGGCCAGGAAGAAGGAAGGGTCTTGATAGGTTTAAGGCACCAGGACTAATGCTATCAGGGATTACACTCTTAATTGAACAAACTACAGATTAACATTAGAGAAAATGGTTTTAGCTGTATGGAAAGAAATCCCCAGTATTCAGTCATGGCTTACTTCTAGGATAATATAGACATATGTTCATTAGTTTTCTATTATCTATTAGACTGCACAGATGTTTTTGTTTTTTTTTCCCACTTGGGTTTATGGCAACACAAGGCATTTTCTTGATAGATTCCTATTTCCAGCTCACTCACAGGGAGGGGAATAATGTGTGAGCAACGTTGCTGTATCACAGGGTGTCGTTGGTGTTATGGCAAGAATTAAAGCCAGCTTTTAAGCCAATTCAACAGCAGTAGCTAGTTATTTTATTCACTCACCTACGTTGAAAGATCTGGGTCTCGGTTTGCTACTGTTAACATCTCGAACAGCTCAATACAAAAGAATCCTAAGTGCCTAGCATGGCTCATATTTGCCCTATATCAACAGTGAGAACTGTCAGAAGATAAAGGCCATATACCACTGACATGATTAAAACAGCATTCAATCTTCAGCGTCACCTCTCTTCTAAGTTTATGGTTTTCAAATTCCTTCTTACACCCCTGTTCTCTTTGTACTGTAACTTGGTTCAAATGATTTTTCTCTGTAAAACCACACTACTCCCCAACTCTATCTATTTTTTAGTTAGAAAGTCTCATTGCCAAGTGCGCTGTGCAGGTTATGATAAATGAATGTGTTGAAGGACATAGAGGCTAGAATATTGTCATGTTGTAGCAGGAACTGAAAAACTTTTAGCATTTTCTAGTGACATGTTCCTGTGTATTAGTTTCCTCCTCCTCCCTCCCTCTCCCCCCCAAAAAAACTTTTAAGTAGAGACAAATTTTAGGATAAGTCTGCAAGGGAACTAAAACCTTAAATTGTATATAAATATCTGCAACTAGACGTAGAGACGTGTCGAAGCTCCACTGTTTAAAAGATACAAGCATTTGGAATTGGATGATGCTGCATCCCTTGTTATCTCACTAGCCATGAAGCACTTTCAACAATTTTCCTGACCTCTCTTGCCTGAATGTTTCTTCTGCATAGACCGTGCTTTGTGAGAAGCCGTTATCATGTGACTGATCAGAGTTCGTCTCCTCTCTCATATTTTCCCCCCCAATGAATGTTGAATGGCTTAACCTCCTCTGGAATCAGCTATAAGGCACAAGTCAGATTTCTTATGCTTTTATATGGTCTGGGTTGTTTGTCGCTGTGCTTCAAACAGCAGATGCATGTACCCCCCTCCTTCCCTCATCTCAAAGTGTAGTTTACTATGCAATAATTGACACGACACTAAAAGGGTTACCAGTTGGCTCATTTTACTTTATATCCGATATTAACCTTCCTTTATTGTGCTTAAATTTGGGTGTCTGATAAAAATAGAATTGCTTCTCTGTCAGCTTTAGTTTAATACCAGTGACATGAGCATTTTATATCTGAAATTTGTCAGAGGTGCAATAATTGAATGCACACGTGTAAATACTGAGGGTTAGACCTGTCTTGAAATGAATTCTCAGCAAGCATGGAGTGGTAGCTTTTGGTTAAACGAATGCATCGAGTCTTTTTAGAGGCTGCTTCCTCTCCCCTCCCCCCCATTTGGATATTAAAAAATGTTGTTTTCTTGTTCAGTATCTTTTTATTTCCACTTCCTTAGCAAACTATTATGAATGTTACTGCTCACCAGATATCTGAAAATGTAATAGAGAATCGGTCATCCTGAAAGCATCTCGTGCTTATGAAATGCCCACAACATAGACTATCGCCTACAGTTTTTCCTCCTTGACTGTAATAATTGATGAAATGTTTGTAAATAATGGCTTGGTAGGGGTTTTCAATGCTACTGAATTGATTTATGCTGTTTACAAGGCAAATAAAGGTGGTCTTGACTCTTTGAATGAATTGTATGTTCAGTTTGTACTGTGAGCTCAGCACTTTTACTAAAGTACTGCACTTACCTGCAGTTTTGAGGTACTTCAGTATTTCCATTCTATGCTACATTATCCTACTATTCTATTAAATTTCAGAAGGAAATGTGAATTTTACTCCACTACGTTTTCTTTGCAGCTATAGTTGCATATGACGTAGAGGTTTACATAAAATATGCAGTTGTTTCAGAAAATATGATGCAGTTTTGCAGCTAATATATAAAGCAGCAACAATTTGATCCACTTCAGCCAACTACACTAAATGTACATGTTGTTAAATGTTTATGGTTTTAAAATAATAATCCACAAATGCGGTTTTACACTTTACATTTAGTCAAGTAATGTGCTTGGGTTGACTTATGAGGTACTTCAGTACATTTAACTTTAATTTAGCAGATGTTGAGTGACAGTGATTTCAAACGAAGACACAGGACTGATGTAATGTATTTTCCAGGCTTATTAAAATATTAAGGTTAAGACTATAGTTTATTAAAAGTGGGCCCCTGTGATATTATTTAATGCATTAATTTACTTAACTATTTAAATTAAAATGCTACGTTTACCTGATTAGTTTAAATATTAAAGTTAAGACTATAATATTATTTCTTATATACATTTATCTCACAAAGTTTATTATTAAGGTTTTGACTCTAAAACATTATTTATTATGTACATTTTTCTGACCAATAGAACTATTAATGCTAAGACCTTACTTCTTTGTTTTTTTATGCAGTTACCCAACTCATTTAAATACTTAGGTTCTGACTCTGCAACATTATATATTATAGAAACAGAACAAGACCTATAATATTATTTATTAAATACATTTATTTGATTGAATATTAATGTGAAGACCCTACAATATATTATGTTACACAAATGTATCTGACTAATTTAAATATTATGGATCACACAATAAAATTGATTACCTACCTTACCTGATCAATTTAACTATAAAAGTTAAGACCCTACAGTATTACCTATTATGCAGATTTATTTGAGTAGTTTAAAAACAAGGTAAAAACCCTACAATAATGTATATATATTACACACACACACACACACACACACACACACACACATATATATATATTATGTAACTGTACCTGAGGAATTTAAATATTATGGTTTAGACTAAATGTGGTATTATTGAAATACTATTTTTATTCAAGTGAATATCTGAAATATTCTTTCAATCAGTGAATGTAACAGCATGGTGAAAGCAGACCAGATCGTATGAATGGAAAAAAAATAAAGAACACAAAATGTACATTACTGTACAGTGCACTATGAGGTTGTACATTATTATGCTGTACATTAGACTATATATTTTCAGACTGCACATTATCGACTATATATGATCAGATTGTACATTAACAGACTGTACATTTTCAGATTGTATATAATCAGATTGTATATAATCAGACTGTCTATTATCAGACTGTACATTATCAGATTGTACATTATCAGATTTTTCATTATCAGACTGTATATTACCAAAGAACAGACTTGCTCAGCGTCTGTGCGTCACAGAGCAGCAGCTGCTTCCGGGGCGGGACTCCGCTGTGCAGCTTCCTCTTCCTCACCTTTCTTACCGCCAAACTTTAAACAACAAGGACTCTCTCACATCCCCGCTGCAGCTCCTGCTTTCACTGATTTACTCTGAATACTTCTTTTCCTGCTCGACATGTCTTTCACTCAGAAGAGACACTGCCCGGATCCTCTGAACGACTCTCTGGAGAAGAGGATAAAGCGGATTTCAATCGAGGGAAACATCGGTAGGTGGATTGGAAAAGCAATTTTTTGTTTGTTTGTTTGCTTTACTAAACCAGCTCCTTAAAGCTTCTTATCTGCTGGGATGTGATGCAGGTGATCCTCGGAGTGACTGTGCGTAAAACTACGTGTGTTCAGAAGGTGATTTACTCTGAATCGATCCATCGTTGCCGCCAATTTCCAGACCTCTGCTGTTCTGCTTCGACTAAACCGTCACATGAAATACTAAAATGCTTTCACACCGTGTGGTTGGTTGCTTTATGTCTGCATGATGTGTTTGAGCTTGACGTTTTGCATCCAATGTGTGTGCGCAGCGGCGGGTAAATCCACCTTTGTGCGCCTTTTGGATCGTGAGAGCGCGGACTGGGAGGTGGTACCGGAACCGATCGCCAGGTGGTGCAACGTCCAAACGACAGGCAGCGACTTTGAGGTATTAACAGACACTATTCCTGCGTTTTAAAGTGCAAAATGAAGCCCCACACACAGACACATCACATACAGAGCATGCTGTGGTATCGATTTATTTCATCCAATATAAAATCAGTTTAATAAGATTCCAGACTTCAGTGTAAATCAGAGATGTTTTTCTTTCATGATCCATCAGGGCAGCAGGATCTCTGCCACTGACTGAGCTGCACACAGTTAGGAGACACATTAAGATAACTGGGGGAGTTTTCATCTGTATTTAGAGTGCAGCTGCCATCTGTCCATATATCTGCACTGGTTGCTGTTCTTACCAGCGCCACACACCCAGAGGGAACAGATGGTCGCTCTCTGGGCAGATGAACATGTCAGCATCAGGGAAAACATCTCTAACCTCCCACACTGTTGCACCGTAGCCTCTCCCTCTGTGTCGTTTTCAAAGCTCCAATACATCCACAGTGAGTGAGACGTTCAGGTGTCAGCCGGTATTCCAAGAATGGTTAGAAAACTGAATTGATGCCATAAAAAACTGCCTCTGTAAAGATTTTGTTAAATGGATCTGTTAGCATTCACTGTTTCAAGTTTTCTAAAGCTCATTCAGCTCAGCTTGCAGGATGTTTTAGGTTTCACTCTAATGATAAGATAT